GATTTTTCTTGACTTGCCATTTTTGATAATATGACACAGTGCCGAAAGCAGTTTCTCGCTCAGTTATGCTTGACGGGTGCCTATTGATGCGTTACGCAAATAGTGATGAATGGTTATTTTATGGATGCGAATATTTCTGATCGAAAGCACACGAATGACTTTAATGACTAATAGCTGACACGATGAATTGGTGCGATTGATAACGCGGTGTCATTTCGCACATAAAATATCATCATTATCGTCATCGTTAAAGATGAGTACTATGGACTATTGTCAGCTAACGCAACTTCAGATGCTGACTGTTAAACTTAAACAAGATTTCGAATTTTTCAGTTGTTCTCTAGTTCTTGTCGGCATTTTTCATGATGTATGATCATGTGAAAACAAAATTGGTCAGTAAGCAAGGGAAAAACATTTTTTCGCTCACAAAATCGCATGGAATTTGATCAATTCAAACGATGAGATCTTTTGTCTCGAGATGGAAGATTAATTCACAACTGATGATAATGTGATTTCAAAAAAAGATAATATTCAACAAAAAGAAACATAGCACTGTATTGTATGCATGCATTTTTCAATTCCAATCGATCGTGTGCTGTACCGGTTGGCACAAACTAGCAGCACACCAATTGTGTACATACGAACATTCGAAAAAATGCTCTCTACACTAAAGTTAGCTATTTTTAGGAAGTAAGAAAAAAACTTGAAAAATCAACAACGCGCAATAGGTGAGAATGAAATTGTTGGATGGAATGATTTTAAAACAACTGAACTGAAAAGCATGACAAGAAAAAACTGGATGCGATCAATGAATCACATGAATTTTAAAAAAGCAATACGAATTTCACCAGAAATCTTTTTTTTTTCTCAAATGAAGAATAATGTTTTGAAAATTTTTTCGAAATTTTTTTTTTCAAATGAATCAAAGACTGAGTGCCAACCAGCCGTTCAAGTAACGAGTGACTCGCTCGCGTCTCTAACGGATGTTTGATTTTATTCGATTTTTTTATCTCAAAAAAAATTCAGTAGACGAGAAATTGTGAAATGAATCATTGAAGATGAGCGATCATTCATTGAATAATTTCATCCGAAATATTTTCGCTCACAGAAAAATTTTCGAAATTAAACAAATTCTTTGAGAATCGCAAACAATCATTTTGATCAGATGATGCATGCTTTGTTTAAGCAAAGCAAATACGAACTTCTTTGTGAATAATTCTAAAGAAGAC